ATTGCACTTGCCCGGCGGGCAAATGCAATGAAATTTGTAGTCTCCTGACAATAAAAACGACTTGCCCTGGGCGATTGGGCAATGGTTAACATCGAGACCTGGGGCCTGTTTCAGAAAGGAGGTTAAGTGAAAACTCTTGAGTTTGTTAACCCTGAAATGAGAGAAACTCTGGGTTTTGTGCTTCAGAAAGGGAGGTAAGTTAAACCTGAGAAAGCAGAGTAAGTCAAGCCCGTTTCTGAAAGAGAGGTAACTTATACTCGGAGTCAGTTTCAATTCAATTCAATTCAGTTTATTTATATAGCGCCAAATTCACAACACATGTCATCTCAAGGCACTTTACAGTTCAACCAGATCATACAGTCAAATTGATACAAAGTTTTCTATCTAACGAAAACCAGTTGATTGCATTGACTCATTGACTCAAATACAATCCCCCACACTAAGCATGCTTGTAGCGACAGTGGAGAGGAAAAACTCCCTTTTAACAGGAAGAAACCTCCAGCAGAACCAGGCTCAGTGTGAGCGGCCATCTGCCGAGGCCGACTGGGGTTCAAGGAGACAGAAGCAGAGATACAAAAAGCAGCTGTAAAAGGCGGCCCCGTCCAGGAAACACACAGCCAGGCAGACGAGCTCCAAGGCAGCTCCCATGCCAGAGGACGAAGAGAGCACATCCACTCAGTCACGGTCAGAGAAACAGGACCACACTGGAAAACAGGCCGATCTCCAACATCTATTAACAAGGGTGTTGATAGAAGCAGCACAGCTGATGTTTTTTTCCAGGATGACGTCACAGCCAAACAGGAACAGACGAGGCAAAGCTACTCTGAGGAAAAGCAGAGAGAGCAGAAGGTTAGAGATTGAACTAACAGATTCTGCAGAATAGGAGAACAGAGAGAGAATGAAGCAGAATGATGAAATGGGGGTCCCTATGTCCTCCAAAAGTCTAAGCCTATAGCAGCATAACTATAGAGATAGCTCAGGATAACCTGAGCCACCCTAACTATAAGCTTTATCAAAAATGAAAGTTTTAAGCCTAGCCTTAAAAGTAGACAGGGTGTCTGCCTCACGGACTAAAACTGGTAGTTGGTTCCACAGGAGAGGAGCCTGATAACTAAAAGATCTGCCTCCCATTCTACTTTTAGAAATTCTAGGAACCACTAGTAAACCTGCAGATTGAGAGCGAAGTGCTCTGTTAGGAACATAAGGAACAATCAGATCTCTGATATAAGATGGAGCTTGGCCATTTAAGGCTTTATATGTGAGAAGGAGGATTTTAAATTCTATTCTTGATTTAACAGGAAGCCAATGAAGAGAAGCCAGGATAGGAGAGATATGATCTCTCTTTTTCATTTTCATTAGAACTCTGGCTGCAGCATTTTGGATCAGCTGAAGGCTTTTACCTACAGTTTGTGGACTTCCTGATAGTAAAGAATTACAATAGTCCAGCCTTGAAGTAACAAATGCATGGACTAGTTTCTCAGCATCACCCCTGGACAGGATATTTCTAATTTTTGCAATGTTCCTCAGATGAAAGAAGGAAATTCTAGAAACCTCTTTGATATGGGATTTAAATGACAGGTCCTGATCAAAAATAACACCAAGATGTTTTACTTTATTATCTGAAATCAGTTTAATCCCATCCAAATGAAGTGACTGGCTAATCAGTTTCTTTTTCAGAGACTCTGGTCCAAAGACTATAACTTCTGTTTTGTCTGCATTCAGAAGCAGAAAATTAAGAGTCATCCAGGTTTTTATGTCTTCAAGACATGCCTGTAATCTATGTAATGGGTTAGCTTCATCTGGATTTATAGACAGATATAGCTGGGTATCATCAGCATAACAGTGGAAATTAATCCCATGCTGTCTAATAATTCTACCAATTGGGAGCATGTATAAAGTAAAGAGAATTGGTCCTAGCACTGATCCCTGTGGTACTCCACAGGTAACCTTTGAGCGTGTTGAAGATCTATCATTAACATGAACAAACTGAATTCGATCAGATAGATAAGATTTAAACCAGTCTAGTGCTGTTCCTTTAATTCCAACAAAATATTCAAGTCTTTCTAAAAGAATATTATGGTCAACTGTATCAAATGCAGCACTAAGATCCAACAGGACGAGCACAGATACAAGTCCATTATCTGAGGCCATGAGAATATCATTAGTGACTTTCACCAGAGCTGTTTCAGTGCTATGATGAGCTCTAAAGCCAGACTGAAACTCTTCAAAAAGTTCATTATGGTGGAAGTGATCGCAAACTTGTTTGGCAACTACTTTCTCAAGAATTTTGGATAAGAAAGGAAGATTGGATATAGGTCTATAATTGACCAAGTCATCTGGGTCAAGAGACGGTTTCTTAAGCAGAGGTTTAATTACAGCAATCTTAAAAGCTTTAGGTACATATCCCTGTAACAGAGATAGATTAATCACATCTAAAATGGAGGAGGAGATCAAAGGGAATACCTCCTTAAATAACCTGGTTGGAACTGGATCTAACATACAAGTTGAAGGCTTAGATGAAGACAATAATTTTGCTAATTCAGAGAGTTCAACTGGATCAAAGCAGTCTAAACCCGGTTCAGATTCCATGACTACCTCAGGTACAATCGCGGATAGAGGAGTGCTTATGATCTTATTTTTAATAAGATCAATCTTATTTATAAAGAATCCCATAAAATCATTGCTGCTAAGAGCAGGTGGAATGGACGGTTCAACAGAGCTATGGCTCTGGGTGAGTTTGGCAACTGTATTAAAAAGAAATCTAGGATTATTCTTATTCTCCTCTATTAATGAGGAGAAGTATGCTGCTCTTGCTTTACAAAGGGTCCTCTTATACAGCAGTAAACCATTTTTCCAGACTAGGAAGGACTCTCGCAGGCCTGTGGAGCGATATTTTCTCTCCAGTTTCCTAGCATTTTGCTTCAAAGTACGCAGCTCTGCATTAAACCAAGGAGCAAGCTTTCTATTTTTAACGGTTTTCATTTTCAAAGGAGCTGCGTTGTCTAAGGCAATACGCAGAGAACTAGCAACCCCCTCAACAAAATCATCAACCTGTGAAGGGGAATAAGCTAAGCTTTTGCACTCTGCAGCACTGCTCAGTGACACAGAGCAGAGAGAAAGTGAAGCAGATTCTTTAAAATTTATAACTGCACTATCTGATAAAGATCTACTAAAATTGAACCTTCTTTTGGGGGAGGAGAACTCTGTTAAAGTAATCCTGAAGGTTATTAGAAAGTGGTCAGAGAGGACAGGGTTGTGAGGAAATACTGTTATTTCTTCACATTCTATGCCGTATGTCAGCACAAGATCCAAAGTATGAAGATGAGAATGCGTGGGACTATTCACATTTTGAACAAAGCCAATAGTGTCTAAGATAGCATTAAAGGCTGCTCTTAAGCTATCGCCTTCAATGTCAGCATGGATGTTAAAATCTCCCACTATGATGACCCTGTCAGTATTTAATACCAAATCAGAAAGGAACTCTGATTACCATGTAATCAAGTTACCATGGCAATTTACTCTGTGAACCTAACCTGGTCGGGAGCAGGTTTTCTTCAGAAAATCCAGAGTTTATTTTGGTCTCCTCCCCTTTTTTAAAGAGGAAGTGGTGTTTAAACACCTCATTGATTCTTTGGGGACATACAGTATTCATTGCACACATTTCAGTCACGTAGAGCGCATCAAAGGGAATGAAATGGCATGTCCTTTAATGGATGATCCTGTTTGTAAAGCCAGGTAGCTACTCTACTCCCATGATGTGCTCAAGGCTTACCTGCTTGAATTGTGTTTTTATATTTCATTTTCAGCTGCTGCCATGTTCTTTTGATGCCTGCAGGATTGCACCTATCCATGAAAACTAAATTAGGTTTAATAAAATACTGTTCTTCCAGTTTCACCTCTGATATTATAACAGTTGGGTAAGTTGCTCTAAAATAGTTCTTAATTACTAACTACAAATTTTATCTTCAACAAGTCTAATTAGATTAATGTAATAATTACTGTCTCTAGAAAGTATTGGTCTACTTACTAATTTGTTTTACTTACTTATTAATTACTTTCTAAATCCCAAATCAACCTCAACCACTTGAACAATACAAGGAGAGACAAGAAACTGCACTTCTAATGCTTTCAAATAAACAATATTTAATTGCATGAATTAATCTTAAATTGACCAAAGTGTGTAACTAGAGGGAGAAAGTTCAAATCAAAATATACCTTTTAAAATTTGATATTAAATCCACTATTGTTTTATAGTCTTTAATTTAATTACAGTATTTATATGACTTAAGTAACTTAATTCATTACACCCAACACTGTATAAAAGTAATTAAAATGTAAACTTACGCATTGACTCGAGCAGCTATTTTCACCCAAGCTAACTCTCTCTCCTTCGCAGCTGCAGCCGTGTTGCTTTATTTTTTAAAATACATGTTCAAATTCTGCATATGCTTGCATAAGCACATCCAGTTCTGCTGGTGAGAAATATGCACACCTTTTTTTGTCTGACGCTGTTGCCATGGTGACTCGTAATATCTGTGCTCCATTGATAATGGCTTTTTATAGTTGTGGTGCACGCGCTCAACTCAGAGTCAGTCAATTTAGAGTTGATTGAACTAACTCATTTCAGCTGTTCTGAAACCCAAAACTCAGAGTTTCCAATCTCAGGATAAGTCAACTCAGAGTTCAAGTTTTAACTCAGAGTTGGTTGAACTTCCTTATTGAAACAGGCCCCTGCTATATTAGCATAAAGAATCTGCATCAAATAATTTGAAGTGAAATCTGTCAGGCTGATGTCAGATAATCTGCATCAGCCTTAAAAGAACAGTTTCGGTCGATCTCTGGTGGCAAATTCTCTGAAGGAGGGAGGAGAGTCTTTGGGGCTTTTTAAAGTATCTGAGGAGCTCTCGTGTGAAGGGAATAGAAATAGTTATTGTTAAACTGTTGTATAGATTTCGGGTGAGGTGCAGTAACGCCGTCTTTGTCCTTCTGTCTGTTCTCAGGTCCAGGCTTTGTCTCAGAGCAGCAAGTTTGAGGCAGAGATTCGAGAAGAGAAAGAAGAACGCAAGAAGCAGGAGGTGGAGAAGAAAGAGCGTCAAGCTGCCTTCAAGCAGCTGCAGTCTGCCTTCTACTCGTGATCTTCACATCAGCAAATCTACGTTAACGAGATCGAAACCTAGCTTCCCACTCCACTCACACTGAAAGAAGCTACATAACTCAGAACGAGAAGGTTGAAAATGAAACCGAGAAATAATTCTAGTAATTACAGTCTAAAATACTTGAAACTAAACTTCCTAACAATCACTGGTCACTTTTCCAGATTTACTTCAGCTTTTCAACAAAACTCTAACAATCAAAAACCCAGCTTCAGATGTGTGAGACGCTTTATCTCGTTAAGTTTCAGTTTCTCCTAAAGCTGTGTTCTTGCAAATTAGTTTGGAAGGTTTCTCCCTGGTGGAAGTGGGTTTCCTTCATTCTGTCTACACTGTGTTTTCTTCTGCCACTTGTGAAATATTTTAACATTCCAGTTATTTTTTAGGATTAACGTGAACTAATGTTTGTTTCACCTACATGTGTTTGTAACTGCAGTGATTTCCCTGCCTGAACGTTTACCACAGAGAATCAGAAGTATCAGTGTTTGAAATAAGATATCAAAGCACTAAGTTCACATTTTAAATCATTTGAAGTGCTCCAGTATTTTTCAGGGAGAAATAATAAAATGTGTTTTGCAGTAATTTAATGATAGAAATCCCGTATCCCAGCCGTCTCGTTTAAACATGTCTGTTCAGCACTGACACTGTCATCCATGTTGCATCTCAGCTGCTTTAACTTCAACCATCCTGTTGCTGAAGAGTTCAGCAGATGATTGAACCTCTCATTTTATAGCACAGAAACTTCTAGATCAGAGCACAAAGCTAATCATTCTGGCTCTATGGTGAACAGAAAGGCTTGTGGTCCCTATTTTCTTGGTGGATTCACTGAACAAACAGAGCGATGTGAACAGTGGACTATATTTTTTAAAACCATTTTTCCAATACACAGGCAACCCGTATTAAGGTGGAACCCACCATCCCCCGTTAACCCATCAACCTCTCTGAAGGGGACAAAGCAGCTGTGAGTTTTAGCCTTCCTCTTGTTAGCAACAGGCCAAATATTCATAGGCATGAATTTCATGGAATCAGTAACACTGGTCAACTTTTAAGGAAAACACCCTGGAAGCGTAGATTGAGGGACCCGGGCTACTGTAACAGCAGACCAGATGATCCCTCACTTCATTTGGAAACAGATGCTGGGATTTATCCACATCCTCAGCTCAGATTTGGTGTAAAACACGACTCACCCACTTTAGATGTGAGTTGATGCGCAGCTAATTAATGTACGTCAGCAATGAGAAGCCAGATGTCTGCATGTCCTGCTTTAACTAATGGGAATTGATCTTTGGCCTTTTTCAGCCGATAGCAGAGTTCCCTTTAGTGTTGTTTAGCGAAGACAGGAAGCATGCCCTTCCTTTGGAGAATGCAGCTGTTATTGCACCTGTGTCTCTGTTGCCATGTGTCGCAATCTGCTGAAACATAAGGTCCATTTCAGTTCCACAGATCAGAGTCCAAAGGCTGTGGTGCATCTGTAGCAGCATGATAGGGTTACAAACAGATGGCTGTTCTTTGGTTAACCATACAATGTTTAATGTGACTTTTCCAGTATTCATTGTGTTAATGGACAATGTGATTTTTTTTTTTTTTTTAAGGTTAAAATTGTCTTTGATTTATCCAAGAGTTATATGATGCCAAATGAAAAATGGTGAGTAAAATATATTTTTTGGCAGTTGTAAAGAATATGTTCTACCCTGTGTGGAATGAACCCTTCTAACTTTAATAAAGCTATAATAAATATGAGACTTGGCCTCATTAATAACCATGTCTGTGTGATCTGTGTTACTGAACATCGTAGAGAGAAGCACCCCTTCCAGACCCGGACTGTCCTGTAAATCCAGTTATTCCCTCAGAATGAACCAAAATCTGCTTTTCTCTACAGTGACAATGATGCCTTTGCTATCCTCACTGTTCTGTTCTTCAATCAAAGGTTATATCCTCCTGAGACCCTGAAGCTTGCCGTTCAAATTCACTAAAATGTAATTTAATGTTTAATAGATATAAATGTATTTTCTGAATGCTCAAGCTACATCAGTATTTTAAAAAAATCAAGATTATATGACAGTCAAACTTCTGTCAATTCAGTTTATTTCTATAGCTCAAATTCAAAATGTGTCATCTTAAAGCACTTTAAAGAGATATGCTCCTGGATGAGCTTGCGGCAACAACCTTCGCTTGCATTTTGTTTTCTATATAAGGAAAACCAGCTGATTACATTGACTCCTCAGCAATCCCTCACACTAAGCATGCCTGTAGCGACGGTGGAGAGGAAAAACTCCCTTGTAACAGGCAGAAACCTCCAGCAGAACCACGTTCGGTGTGAGCGGGCATGTGCGAGGATGGCTTGGGATCGAGGTGACAGAAGGAATCATACAGAAGTAAGCAGAGATACAAAAGGCAACGGTCAACCAGCTGCAAAGGCGGCTCCATCCAGGAAACACACAGCCAGGCAGACGAGCTCCAAGCCAGCTCCCATGTCAGAGGATGAAGAGAGCACATCCAGTTGGTCACAGTCAGAGAAACAGGCCGATCTCAAATATCTAGAAACAAAGGTGTTGATGGCAGCAGCACAGATGTAATTTCTCTCCAGGATGGAGTCACAGCCAAACAGGAACAGACCAGATGAAGCTACTTTGAGAAAAAGCAGAGATAGCAGAATGTTAGAGATTGAGCTAACAGATTCTGCAGAGTGGGAGAATAGAGATAGAATGATGAAATGGGGGTCCCTATGTCCTCCAGCAGTCTAAGCCTATAGCAGCAGAACTATAGAGATAGCTCAGGATAACCTGAGCCACTCTAACTAGAAGCTTTATCAAAAAGGAAAGTTTTAAGCCTAGCCTTAAAAGTAGACAGGGTGTCTGCCTCACGGACTAAAACTGGTAGTTGGTTCCACAGGAGAGGAGCCTGATAACTAAAAGATCTGCCTCCCATTCTACTTTTAGAAATTCTAGGAACCACTAGTAAACCTGCAGATTGAGAGCGAAGTGCTCTGTTAGGAACATAAGGAACAATCAGATCTCTGATATAAGATGGAGCTTGGCCATTTAAGGCTTTATATGTGAGAAGGAGGATTTTAAATTCGATTCTGGATTTAACAGGAAGCCAATGAAGAGAAGCCAGGATAGGAGAGATATGATCTCTCTCTCTTTTTTTTTTTTGGACTTCCTGATAGTAAAGAATTACAATAGTCCAGCCTTAGAGTAACAAATGCATGGACTAGTTTCTCAGCATCACCCCTGGACAGGAGATTTCTAATTTTTGCAATGTTCCTCAGATGACAGAAGGAAATTCTACAAACCTCTTTGTTATGGGATTTAAATGACAGGTCCTGATCAAAAACAACACCAAGATTTTTTACTTTATTATCTGTAATCCTATCCAAATGAAGTGACTGACTAATCAGCTTATTTTTCAAAGACTGGTCCAAAGACTATAACTTCTGTTTTGTCTGCATTCAGAAGCAGAAAGTTAAGAGTCATTCAGGTTTTTATGTCTTCAGACATTCCTATAATCTATGTAATGGGTTAGCTTCATCTTGATTTATAGACAGATATAGTTGGGTATCATCAGCATAACAGTAGAAATTAATCCCATGCTGTCTAATAACTCTACCAATTGGGAGCATATATATATATAGTAAAGAGAATTGGTCCTAGCACTGATCCCTGTCGCACTCCACAGGTAACCTTTGAGCATGTTGAAGATCTGTCATTAACATGAACAAACTGAAATCGATCAGATAGATAAGATTTAAACCAGTCTAGTGCTGTTCCTTTAATTCATACAAAATATTCAAGTCTTTCTAAAAGAATATTATGGTCAACTGTATCAAATGCAGCACTAAGATCCAACAGGACAAGCACAGATACAAGTCCATTATCTGAGGCCATGAGAATATCATTAGTGACTTTCACCAGAGCTGTTTCAGTGCTATGATGAGCTCTAAAGCCAGACTGAAACTCTTCAAACAGTTCATTATGGTGTAAGTGATTGCAAACTTGTTTGGCAACTACTTTCTCAAGAATTTTAGATAAGAAAGGAAGATTGGATATAGGTCTATAATTGACCAAGTCATCTGTGTCAAGAGATGGTTTCTTAAGTAAGGGTTTAATTACAGCAACCTTAATTAACCTGGTTAGAATTGGATCTAACATACAAATTGAAGGCTTAGATGAAGAGAATAGTTCTTCTAACTCTGAAAGTTCAACTGGATCAAAGCTGTCTAAACCAGGTTCAGATTCTATGGCTACCTCAGGTGCTGCCTCACCTTCCAGAGTTAAACCATTCATATTTAGAGGAGTGCTAATGATCTTACTTTAAATAAAATTAATCTTATTTATAAAGAATGCCATAAAATCATTACTGCTTAGAGCAAGTGGAATTAATGACGACATGCAGCTAAACATGTCATCAACTCCTACTGTACATTCTGTTTGTAAAAAAGGAGCACTACAGCAGGTCATTCATCCCTGCTGCCATCAGACTCTACATTGTAGCTCTATACCTCAAATAACTTGTGCAATTACTATTTAATACCCTGTGCAATAAGTTGTATAGCTATATATATATAAATACACATCTATATAAATACCCATTTTAATAACCTGTCTAATAACCCTCTACCAGAGGCCTGGGAGCTTGAAGGTTCTGCCAGTATCTTTGCTGTTCCTAGAACTGCTCTCTTCTGGGCCGATATGTCTGATGTATTTCCAGGGATCTGCTGTAACCGCTTTTCAAGTTTGGGGGTCACTGCCCCAAGGGCCCCAATGACCACAGGTGCCACTGCTGCCTTGACCTTCCACACGGGAAAAATCGTAATCTAGATAAGTCATTTTTTCTTAAAATAAGTGCATTTGTTCTTGGATTGAGGAGGTAAAACAGACATTTTGCCAATGGAACAAGACAATTTACACTTAAAATAAGAAAACACAATTGCATTGTCTTACTTCAAGTGCATATTATCTAATTATCTTATTTCAAGAGTAAAAATACTCATTCCATTGGAAAATATCTCATTTACCTACTCAAATTAAGGGTAAATACACTTAATTTAAGACATTTTTACTTATTTCCAGTGCAGGTTTTTCCAGCTTTTCTCTAAGCCCCTGGTATTTCTCTAATTCCATATTCTTTTTTGCTGATGTTGCTGTAAATTGGTATTGTTATGCCAACCACAACAGCTTTCCTCTGCCTTTTGTCCACCACCACAATTTCCGGTTGGTTTGCCATTACCATTCAGTCTATATCTGGAAGTCCCACAGGATCTTGGCATGGTCATTCTGTACCATCTTTGGAGGCGTTTCCCACTTTGACCTTGGGGTTTCCAGCCCATACTCTGCACAGATGTTGCTGTACACTATTCCAGCCTCTTGGTTATGGCGCTCCATGTGAGCTTTCCCCGCCAACATCTTACACCCTGCAATTATTTGCTGGATTGTCTCAGGGGTGTCTTTGCACAGTCTGCAGCTGGGGTCTTATCTGGTGTGGTAGATCTGGGCCTCTATTGCTCTGGTGCTTAGGGCCTGCTCCTGTGCAGCCATGTTGAATGACTCTGTGCTGTCCTTCAGTCCGGCTTTGTCTAGCCATTGGTAGGATTTCCTGATACCTGCCACTTCAATTACGGTTCGGTGGTACATCCCGTGTAGGGGCTTACCCATCCACGTCGGAGTCTATGGCACCTCATCTTATACATATATATATATATATATATATATATATATATATATATATATATATATATATATATATATATATATATACATTAATACCATTCTTATTTTTGACTATTGAGCTGATGTAACAAGTACATTTCTCCACTGTGAGATCAATAAATTCGATCAAACAATCCATACATTTTTCATCTTTAATATTGGTATTTTATGTGAATATATATTTTTTTTCACTTTACGGTTAATATACATACAGTTAAAATGTTACATTTTTATAAGTAATTAGAGCATTTTTGCCTCCAGCCCCTGTTTTCTGTAACTGCTTGTTACAGAGGTGATGAATTATCTCCACAGAAATCACCTGGCAGTGGCGGCCATGGCCCAGCTTCACTCCTGTCAATGTGGTCCATCTTGGTTAACAGTCTATTAGAAATGCAATAAGCTTATTAAAACATCATACCGCGTCAAACGGCAGCAGAATACAGTGCAGTGAGAAGATAAAAACATTCTTCTCACTGCCAACCTATTCAACAGAGACATGAAGATAGAGAAGATAAAGGAATCAGAATCTTTCTCACTGTTTCTTTAAAAATGTTTATTTCTCATTATAGTCAATGTACAAAGTCTCTAAAGCGTGAGGTTCAATAGGATTTCACTGCCTCTAAATGATTTATTTGAAACATTATAGAAAAAAAGGATGATCATCAAATAAGCAACATGTAAATAAAATATTTGGAAAATAAAGATTTACTCTCACATTCTATCTCTAGGCTAAATATTCAGACACAATAAAATTCAATATAATACAAAACATTTTCATAATCTGCGAAAATCAATAATATACAAATTAATCATTCATATATGCCTATTAGTCATTATGAAGGCCACTCCGGTGTTAGCAACGTCATTTAAGACATGGATGTAGTGGTGTTTTCTTTTCTTTTTTTTTTAAGTTTTGTGCCACAAGTGGGCTTTATTAAAGAGCAGAAAGACAGCAAATAGGTTGGAGAGAGAGAGAGAGGAAGATATCAAAGAAAGGCTGAAAACGGGATTAATATCTGACACACGTCGCTTTAAAATGTCCAGACTG